GCAAAACCCTCCTGCTAACGTTTAAGTCCATCCACAACCTCGCTCCCCCATACCTGTCTCACTCTATCCATGTTCCCACTCCCTCCTGCTCCCTCAGACACTCTTCCTCCATGTAACCGTCTGTCCCCTCTGCCCGTCTTAGTACCAGTGGGAGCAGAGCATTCAACTGCTCTCTGGAATTCATTACCATCCCAACTCAGAAACATTGACTCAACACTCAACTCTAAACACATCTGTTTAATACTACCTTTTCAATCTGAGGTCTATTTATATTGCCACAGTCTATTTTGTGGGATTTTATAGCTGTTTCTTCTATTTTGTGTATCTTTGTATGATGTTCTTGAGTGCAGAGAAAGGCGCCTTAAAATAAAATGCATTATTATTATTATTATTATTATTATTATTATAAAACAGGACGTGTCCTAGACATCCAGACCTGCATCTTGAATGCAGTATCTACGCTGTTAAAGGTGGTAGTGGCAGCATGATGCTGTGGGGAAACTTTACTGTCAGCAGGAAAAGGGACAATGGTTGAAGTTGACTAGAAGATAGATGGAACTGGTGATACTGGCAGAACAGACTAGAGATTTGGGCAAAGGTTTGACTTTCTGTGGAATAACAATCTTTAAAAAAAAACAAAAAACAAAAAAAACTGCCAGAGCTGGAGCTCAATTATTTGGATCCAGGAAAAGCCTTATGAATGAGAATGGCCAAGTCAAAGCCCTTTAAATGGAATTTAGCTATCAAAGGGATCTTTTTATTACAAGAGTAGCGACCTTACAGGTTATGTTATATAATTTCTAAGAAAAAAATGTGTTTGTTTTGGCTGGACTGAGGTGTCTAATAATTATCTAGTTTTGTAAGAGTTCTGATGTAACGGGTTACAAAACCACAGCCGCTAAAATGGCCTGTGTCTACAATTAGTCTAATACGTTTCTAAAAGATATATCTCTTTTTACAATTTTATTCAGGAAATAAGAGTTTGTTTCTCATATTTTGCACTTTAAAAGTTACATAGCGCATGACGCAAGCAGTGACATAACTACCGGCAGACGATCAGCAAACCAAACTGTGCGGAAAATGTAAAAATTAGTTGAAAGAATCAGATGTAATGAAGAACATACCTGGTTTGAAGTGGTCTTTAAAGACTTCTCCGCCGAAAAAAGAGCAAAACGACATCGCTGCGGGTGAAGTTGTTCTGTGCCGCACTGAAACAAAACGCGAGAAACGTCACTTCCGGTCTGGGATGAATTTCAAAATAAACTATTTGTACAAAGTTTCAGTGTGGATCATTTGATCATAGCTTCCTAATAAAAAAAATACTAATAACCTTTCTGATGTCATATTTACAAAAATATGAGTCAAAAACTTTATTAATGTATTTAAAAAATAATAATAATAATGACAACATGCAAAAATTAAGCAGTTATGACAATGATGTTGAGGTAATAAAATTGATTTTATAATTTTACTGCGACAGGTATCTTTTTTTTTCACCTTTAATTGAATTCAGAATTAGTTTAATGATCGCAGTGGAGAATAAAATGTCATATCTGAGATCAATAAGCAAACAAAACAAATATAAACCTTCCAAAACGTTTATTTTTCTTGTTAAATTTGGCTGTGTTTTTTGTTTCAATCAGGATAAAACTAAACTAAAAATAACCTGCCAGCGTTACGAATAATTTTGTTTTTTACCATGCAAAAAAACTAAAGTTTTCATTAACTAATGGAAGATTTAAGATCAACATGGCTGCAAGCTTTATAGAATGCAAAGAAATGCAAGTTTAGGCTTACAGTGCTGAAATGGATTAAAATGAAACAATTATCCTTTTTATGCAATCCTGAATATAGAAACGTCACAGCCGTTTGAGCTCCTTGATTTTCATTTAAGAGCTTATTAATTATGATAAATGTCTAAATGAGGTGTGTTTGCGTTTGCAACTATTTTTGCCATGCCTGAATTCTCCAGGTCATGCACTTACATAAGTCTGCGTACAGGACTGCAGTGTCGCTGGAATGAACTCCGTGTTTTGACGCTGAAGCAGCAGAAAGGAGGAGGAGGAGCAGCCAATCGCATAATCTGGATTAAAGAGTCAGGATTCCCCCTAATGGATCTATGAACTGACCTGGATTGATGCTTATGCAGCCATGCATGTAAAGCAAAGGGTTTAATGTTTTGTCGTTAAGTTTACCTGCATTTTAATGAGGAGAAGGGGCTGCAGGGGTGGTAAAGTTGTGCCTCAGAAATGGATGGATTGCAGTGCGCAGCAGCAGCTCAGTGCGCCCTGCAGCAGCAGGCGGACTGGACACTGCGCATCCCACGCTTCATGCACGCTCCTGCATCTAATGAGAGAGGATTGTTACCGAGTAAACAAGAAAATCTACATAAACATGCCACACATCAGGTGAGTTTGTCCCATTTAGTACTGGAAATGCATTTTTGATTTTAAGGCATCAGCAGCATCATAGCTGCTTGTTTCTTTGTTTGTTTTATTTATTTAAAGACGCATATATATTTTTTTGTTGTTGTTGTTTTTACGTAAAGTCAGAAAAATCTCACACCTAATTGATTATTTATTGTTTTGCAATTCAAAATTCCTTTGAGGATAGAGTCATACCATGCTGAAATTAAATCAGCTTACCAAGTTACTTTATGACTGCACATAAAATATTGTTACTGACAACATGGAGCCTAGAGGTCTTGGAATGATTGTTCCACTTATTCGAGGTCTGCAGACATCATGCCATTTCAGATGCAAATGTGATAATTTCTACCACACAAGAACTGATATTTTATTTTATGATCCTTACATATTTTCATTTATGCAGTTACATGACTCATAACCTTTGAGGCATATTGGTAAAAGAAGAACAATTAATTTAAAATGATGGGTTCTCCAGGACTTTTTAGTTGGTTTTATTAACATCTTTACTCATCCATCTTTGGTGTTATTTAACAATCAAAACTCGATCACTGACTGTTTAAAGTGAGCCACTTTGGTTTTTAACAATCACATTTCCTAATAAATATCATGTTGTCCAAACAAATAGAAAACCAGGTTGTTACATACATCAACAGAATCTTTCTAAACTACCATATATCTTTTATACTTTATGCAGTTTTCACTCATCCTACTGTGCTTACATAATCACTGCATGTAGCTGAAACTTGATGTCTACATGCTGTTAAGGAAAACATCTGGTTTTCGATGGGGCAAGGCAAATTTATTGATATAGCACTTTACAGTAGCAAGGTGACTTAAATTGCTGTACATGAAAAAATACATATTGGCAAAAAGACACAGTCATCTTAGTTAATGTAGAGCTCTATATTTAAAGAAAGTTCTCTATTCTTGTATTTAGAAAATCGAAATATTTTGCTCATTCTAATTGATCTAAAACAGAAAAAGCATAATCAAATGATTTTTTTTAAATAAAATTGAAATACATTTTGTGATTTATGGTAAGGTTTGACATTTTCCATCTTTCCTCTTACCTTAGCAGAAAATATTTCCCAGTTGTTACTGGAAAGCTGCCAGGCCTCTGCTGACTCCACTCAGCAGCAGTAATTTTTAAAGTCTTGTTTCTAATGTCAGCACAAACTTCTATCAAATTGACTCCTGAGTCTAAATTGATTAGGCTCATGGCAGTCAGTCTGCAGCAGCACCTTAACAGTCATCAGAGCAGCACTTTTAGTTAATTAGATTGAATAGAAAACAAGCCCAGTCGGTTTGTGCTTCAATTAACATCCTGCTGATTGTATATTGGGGACATGTTTTTAGAACCTCCAGTAAGCTATCAAAATTGTTAAGGAATTCCCACTATTATTTACTAAAATAATGCTTCTTTTGCATAAGATGCAAGACTGCTTGGTTCTTTACAGTGTGATAGGAATCACTGAGTTTATCCACTGTTGCATATTAGAATTTGCACTTTTGTATTTTTACTTTTTTTGAAACAGGAATAAGTGAATGTATGTGATAAAAATGATCTAACAGCCTCAGTTAAGTCCATTTGTTGAAAAGTGTTGATAAATAGCCTAAAACATGACCTCCAGTTTATGAAACTGTTCATCCAATCTGACATAATGAATATGTGTGGTTGTTCAGTGGAAACACACTTTTAAAATGCTTTCTATAGATCAGTGTGCTCTCAAGGGCTTTCTCTTATCGCTGAGCTCTCAGAGCTATAATAGGCCACATTTGCTGTGAGCCTTTTTTCACATTGGTTACAAAGTGAGGTTTTGACCACACTTAAATATAAGTGGTCATTTAAACAAGGACCTGATGGAAATACAGGTCAATCTCATGATAATACAATATCAAAAACATGTATTTTTGTAGTAATTACAGTAAATTCAAACACAAGGGAATTCATATAAAGTAACATATTTCAGATTTATTCATTTAATTATGTAGGCTTACAGCCATTACAAACTTCCTTAGAAAATGTGTTTTAATCGCAGTAGACAAATTGAAAACATAATTTTGTAATAAACAAGTGCTGAGCAGTTGAAACAGTATATATATTCTGACTCTTGTTCAGGAGTGACCCTTTCGAGAAAAGAGACAGATGGGATATAATCTTTGAGTCATAGAACCGCATGTGATTTAAGCACAGTACTATTATAATAAATCAGATCCAAAAGTCATTTGACTGAGGACAAGATTATGTTTTGTACTTGAAGTCAGGCATGAAATGATCCTAACTAAAAGATACAAAATAACATACCTGCAAAGAAAACAGTTAATGCAGTGTTTGATAAAACACATCCAGACACAGTTGGATCAATTTATTGACGTTCTCAAGGGGAACTCGAATGCTGTGCTTCCCTGAGAAATAGTTTAAAAGGAGAAAAAAAAGGGAGCCAAGAATCAAGGGCAGTCAGGATAAATGTAAAGTTCCTTTAAAGTCAATAAATGTTCTGTAGTTGTATTAGCCACATATACCACAGATTAATATGTCTTTTTTTTTTTTTTTTACTTCATTTGCAGGGTGTCTAAATAAACTGATTATGAGCAGCTAAACCAACAGCTTTGAATTAGCTTCTGGTTTACATTCATCATGGAGGAGAGCAAGCTTTTTTTCAGCCTGGACCACCTTGATGAAGGTCCCTCTGTTGTCTTTTCCAAAGACAAACCACAAACCCTGGAGTGTCAGCATGATGTCAGTGTAAGGATGACTCTAGACCTGAACCAAAGCCCCCGCTCTCAACCCCTCTACCTGCCTCACTCTCCTTCATCTCCAGGCTCTTTATCTGATTTGACAGCATCATCAGCAGACCTCCTCATCTCCACCGGGTTGGTAAAATCCTCCTCCACAGACTTGAAACCAAAGGAGAGCAGTACTCTGAGAGGTAAGCCTCTCCTCAGCCTGGTCAAGTCCTTCAGTACAGAGATCTCGCGCCGGGGTGAGCCTGAGAACAATCTCTCAAAGTCTGATTCAAAGCTGCATTTGCATCCCTGGAAGCAGGTTACTCATCCAAAGATCCCGGAATATGGACCTGTAGCAGGGACGCTGAGCAAAACTGAGGACTTCGTATGTCCTCTGTCCACCTGCAGCATCTCTCCATCAGAGCCACGAGGCAGCTCCCTGATTGCTGAGCTGGAGGACACCAGGAGGAAGTTTTCAGAGGCCATGCAGGATCCATTGAGCATGCTGAGTAGGATCATGGGGGACGAGAGCTCTGGGAGCCCCAAACATGGTAGAGGGTTTGGTACAGGAGAGACTCCAGCCTTCCAGTGTAGCAGTGAAAGAGACGGCAGCAGTGATGATCCAGATCTGAGGTGTAGAAAAAGAACAGACAATGAGAACCGAGCCGTGTGTGATGCTCCACTCAAAAAACTCCAAAAAGATATACTGATGCAATCTTCAGTCTTCTCAAAACAAAACGCCCAAAACGGTGACAAGCATCTTGAAATCTGTACCTATGGGGATGTAATCCAAGTGGGGGAGCCTCAGAATAGATCCACAGGGAAACTTCCTAGGACTTACCCCACATCTCCAGCGTCTTTCACAGGATCATCAATGCCTTTTTATTGGCTCATCCCAGTAAGTCTGCTGGCTTACGGGTTCTTTGTTCTCCCTCTGTCTCCATATTTAACTGGTCTGTCCATGGGGATTGCATGTGGCTTTATATTAGGCTTGTTGGTGGTCTTCTGGTTTTCTCCTGGACATACCCGCAGCAAACAGGGGGCTCAAAGGAGGTCCAAAACCATGAAAGTGGATCCATCGGATGAAAAGCGCATGGATACAGAGATCATTGAGGTAATACCTAAGAGGCAATTTGATTAAGGTTTACTTTATTTTATTTATTTCTACAAGTTAGACTCGTTGAACTGATTTATGTTTACCTAAAGTAATGAAAAGAAAACAACAAATGTCTATCATCTTTAGAAGCTGTATCAATTTTAGAGTCATTGGTTTGGACAGTTTCATTTCTTGAAGAGAGGATTTCTTTTTTTTTTTTTTTACATTTAACTTTTTATTGAAATTTTTACATTTATTTACATAAACAGTGAACTTGAACACAACACATCCACCTCTACCCAAAATAAAAAGGAACCAAAACTGTTGCTCGGGGGCTTGTACTCATTATTACCTTATTGTCTCTCATTTTCAAAGGCCTTTATCCACTTTTGTCGCTCTCTGTTGTCCTGAATACAGTCCATTTTGTCCATTTTTTTTCCATTTGTGCTTGTTGCAGTCTCAATCTGTGTGTCAGTTTTTCCATAATATAAATTTCTTCCACAATTTCAGTCCAATGTTCTTGGCATGGGGGGTCCTCTTTCCCCCACTTCCTCGTGATCGCTTTCTTACCCGCTATTAACAGAATCTTAGTCAGGTATCTATCTTTTACCGTAATCTTGGTGTTATTAAAATTACATAGATAGAATACCATGCTACTCATAGGGATATCATACCCCAGTATCCTCTTCACAGATACATAAACATTTTTCCAGAATGCAACAATTTTTGGACAGTTCCAAAATATGTGCGAGTGATCAGCATTCATCAATCCGCATTTTCTCCAACACTCTGCGCTTGTATTACTATATTTATTCTTGATTTTAGGCGTGATGAAAAAACGTATAAGGTTCTTCCATGCAAACTCCCTCCATATCCGCGAATTAGTAGATGTCTGTTGTGTTTTCCACATATCTATCCAGTCTTTATCCGTAATTGTCATATTAAACTCTGATTCCCATTTCTCTTTAATATACTTTGTAGAATGCCTATTCATTAGTTTTTGATATAGTGTAGAGATGGTTTTCATTTTAGTTCCATTAATAGATTTAAGTACCACTCCAATCACACTATTCCTTTCCATCTTAGTGTCCCATTTGATGTCTGTCCTGTAGTAGTCTCTCATTTGCAAATACCTATAGAACTCTTGTTTATCTAGATTATACTTGTCCTTCATTTGTTGAAAGCTCAACAGCTCATTATTTTCCTGGAGGGCATACCATCCCGTAATCCCTTTCCCTATCCATTGCTTGAATCCTTTATCATATTTTAATGGTTTAAAATCTGTGTCGTATGCTATCCACCTAAGTATTTTCATTTCTTTCTTTATTTTGTGTTTTTTCAATGTTTTGAACCATGTTTCCAATGTAAAATTAGCGATCGGATCTTTATAATTCTTGATCTTTTCATATCTATCTTCATCTCCAATAACACTCTGAATTGGACATCCTCCAAACTCTTTCTCCATGTCTTTCCACCTTGCTGAGTAGTCCGGCGAGCACCAGCACACCACATGCCTGAGCTGTGCTGCCCAGAAGTACTCTCTCAGTCTTGGTAGGCCCAAACCCCCTTCGTCTTTCGGTAGCTGTAACGTTTTATATTTAACTCTTGGTTTTTTGCCCCCCCAGATGAATCTTGATATTATCTTGTCCCAGATATCAAATTGAGTTTGACTCACCTCTATCGGTAATGCCTGGAACAGATATAGAAGTTTCGCTTGCACATTCATTTTGATAATTTCGACTCTCGAGTTCAAATCCAATGGTAAAGTATTCCATCTATCTATATCTTTTTGTATTTCTTGGGTTATTTTACTATAATTCGCTTTAAACAATGTAGATATTTTTTTAGTAATATTGACTCCTAGATATTTTATTTCTTTCGTGTTCCATTTAATGGGAAATGCTTCCTGTATTTCTTTTGATGGGTTATAGTTGAGTGTTAGTGTCTGTGTTTTGCTTACATTAATTTTGTATCCTGAAAGATATTCATACTTTCCAAACAAGTCCATCAAAACTGGCAACGATCTATTTGGCTGTTCAAGGAAGGTTATTATATCGTCTGCAAAAAGTCCTATTTTGTGTTCTTCACCATTTACTGTAACGCCTTTGATTCTTTCATCTTGACGTACTGCCTGTGCCAAAGGTTCCACAAAGAGTGCAAATAAGGTAGGTGATAGGCAGCACCCTTGTCTGGTTGATCTTTGTATGTTAAATTTTTCTGTCAGACTTCCATTTATTTTTATTCTCGCTGTAGGTTGATGGTATAATGCTTTTATACTCAATATTGATTTATTGTTGAATCCAAATCGTTCTAGCACCCTATATAGAAATGTCCAATTCACCAAATCGAATGCTTTTTCTGCATCGACACTTACTAATATGGTGCTTTGTTTTTCCTGTTGCGCTTGATCCACTATATGCAATACTCTTCTAATATTATCGTGAGTTTGTCGTCCTTTCACAAATCCTGTTTGATCCTCCTCTATCAATTCTGTTACCCATTTATTTAATCTAGCAGAGATAATGGATGTATAAATCTTATAGTCCACATTCAGTAGTGAGATTGGTCTATAACTACTACATTGTTCATTGTCTTTCCCTTGTTTTGGTATGACCGTAATTATAGCTTCTCTCCATGAAGGAGGTATTTTATTATTATTAAGTGTCCAATTGAATGATGCTGTGAGTATTGAGACCAATTCTTCTTTAAAAATCTTATACCACTCTGCCGGGTATCCATCACTGCCTGGTGATTTATTGTTTTTAAGTGAGTTTATCGCCTCCTTTACCTCTTCTATTGTAATTGTTGCTGTCAGTGACTCATTTTGTATTTTGCCAATTGTTGGTAAATCTAATGTGTTTAAAAAGGTTCTCATTTCCCCCTCTTGAGCACCTGCAGGTTGTGTGTATAACTTCTCATAATATCCTCGGAAAATGCCTTCTATTTCTTCTGGATTATTAGTTAATTCTCCTGTGTTGGGATTCCTGATTTTGTTTATTGTATTAATTGTTTGCTGTTTTCGAATACGTTTTGCTAGCAGTTTAGTTGCCCTTGACCCTGCCTCATAATAGTTCTGTTTCAGGTATATATTCTTTTTTTCTATTTCTCCCAATAGTATATCATTTATTTCGGCCCTGACCATCTTGATTTCTTGGTATATCTTTGGGTCTTCTGTTATCTGATATTTCTTTTCTAGTTCTCTAAGTCTCTCATTGTTTGACCTGTATTTTTGTAATTTGGTTCTTTTTTCATGCGCCGTTATAGCTATTAACTTTCCTCTAATGACTGCCTTCATGGCATCCCACACTATTGTTGGGTCAACTGTTCCATTATTATTTTCCTCAATATATTGTTTTATCTCTGCTTTGATCTTTTCTTTTTGTTGTTCATTGTTTAATATTCCCACATTTAATCTCCATACAGTATTTCTTTTCCTACTACCTAGGCACATCTTTACATAAACCGGATTGTGATCCGACACATCTGCCGCTCCTATCTTGCACTCCTTTACCCTGTGATTATCTTCTTCCTTGACTAAAAAATAATCTATTCTGGAGTGTACCCCATAGACAGCCGAGTAATGTGTAAAATCTCTCCCTGATGGGTGCATTTTTCTCCATACATCTATCATTCCCATCTCCTCTAGTGATACGTTTATAAAGGAGGAATTTCATTAAAAGGAAAATCTTTTTACTACAACCACAAAAGTCATTTGCCAAACACAATTGAGGCTTTGACTTAAGTGGTGTGCTTAAGTCCAATTAGACCAAAACTAGGTCGGTCTAACAAAAGACAAAATGATACGTGGAAAAGCGACTCATGCCAACTCATGATAAGTAAAGTCGAGCAAATATGATGTTGTTGACCTGTTCGTCTTTTCAAGGCGTTGGAACCTTGTTATGATTTCAAAAACTCTATGCATGGACTGATGAAAAACCTAAAATCTTGTTCAAACTAAGAACAAGCCAAAGAATAAGAGCTAATCAGCTTAAAATTTGTTCATTAGACAAAATCAAATATTTCTTTATGGCCACCTCAGTCCCCAGACCTAAATCTTACAGAAAATAATTCAGAAAAGAGGACTTGGGATGATCTAGAGGAGTGCTATAATTGTGAATAAATATTCTGTATTACTCCTGGATTTATTCAATCTTAATCTTATCTGGTCATTACTGTTTGCTGCATTTACTCATTTAAAATGAAACATGGGGAGTCAAAATATAATTAGTTTTGCAAACATAAGTGATAAGTAGAATTGCTTCAGCTAACCTACTGACTCACAATGTCTAAGAAAACATAACCATGGCTGTATCTTTTGTTACCTCTGTGCATCTTCTTGTCTATTTGGCAACATAAAAACCAGCCTGCAACTATATTTTTGATCTTTGCTTGACTGATAGTTTCCCCAACAGGAGGTGTGTGAGATGCTGTAGGTCAGAGCAGGCCTTCATAGATAGTTTTGGAGATTATTTCTGTCTGAAAAATGTCCTGAGCATGAATAGGGTCATAATGAATGCAGTGCAGAGTTATCCAGATAAACAAAGTAACATTTCACTGAATTCTTCTGGGTCTCATGTTTCCCCTCCTGCTGAGCTGTACTGTTACACTTTACACCATCGCTGAGACATTAGCACCAGCTCACAGCTTGATTATCTCTTGTCATGTATCTTTTTATAATTGAAATCCTGTTTGTTTATTTTCAGAGCTGGATGAATGAGGCCCACAGCTACGACCCTGATACCTTCCACCCTTCCATGATGCACTCAGTCTATGTGACGCTGGATGGCAAGCAGCTGCACCTTGCACACCCCCATGCTAACATCCCCCGGTGGGCAGCTTTTGATGAGCCGAATCACGAGGTCATGTTTTCGATCACCTGTACTTACCAGCTGGCTAACAGTAAGGTGAATACTTTACCAAAAACATCTAACCTGTTTAATATAGAGGAACAGGGCACAGACCACAGCGAGGAGTAGAGGTCACCTCTGAACTGAACTTTTCACACTGGCCTGTCTGCACATACTTTGTCATCTAACACTGGGGAGAAAGAGCTGCAGGACCCAGTGCTGATGCATGGACTAAACTTGACCTCACTACTCTGCAGAGGCTGCAAAATCTTTCAGCTTAATAACTGAATAAGCATGCATGCATCTATTTACCATACACAATGGAGGTTTAGTAAAACGAAAAAAATTTAATTCATAACTCATATTTGTTAGAGCCTGATACAAATGTGCTTCCCCAGGTGTCTCTGGTCCCTCCCGGTTTAGCTCGTAAGAGAATTTGGAACAAGAAGTACCCCATCTGTATCACTCTGGCTGAAGGAGAGCTGGGAGAGGAGAGCCTACCGGAAGGGCAAAAGGAGGATGAAACAGTAGAAAACTCCACCATTCCCAGCCAGCAGTCTCCTGCCACTCTGTATCTGTTTGGCCGCACAGGAAGAGAGAAAGAGGAGTGGTTTCAACACCTTCTCTCGGCCTCGAAGGCTGCAGCCCAAAACCAACCAGATGCAGAGGAAAATGCAGGTAAAAAGTACATGTATAGCCGGTAAACACTATCTTCTTTTGATGAAGGCTCTTGCACAACATCAGAGTTCATTAACCAGCTGTCATCTTCTGTTTGTTACTTAGAAGCTCAGAGTGGAGGAGAAGCTGTTAAGGAAGACACAGAAGAGATGCCCGACTCGTCACTTAAAACAAGAACACTGTTGGACTACAGCAGCTACATGATGCAGCTGATTGACTCAGATCGATCCAGTCCCACCACCGTCAGTGCTGACAAAGGAAGCCCCTCAGCTGGCAAAAAGGTTCAATAGCTAATTAGCTTTGGCTCCAAAATTACACATTTAGTGCCTAAAAAAATAGTAATTCTGCAGCTAATTATTTCATCCAGTATAGGAATAACTCTCTTTGTGCAGAGCTCTGCTGAAGATCATGTTTCTGGGGGTGAAGCTGGAAGTGATTGCAGAGGAGTAACCGAGTCGGGCGGGTGCTCCACAGATGGCCAGCCCGCATGGATAAATTCCTTGGTGGGGAGGATTTTCTGGGACTTCCTCAGAGAGAAGTACTGGACCGATCAGGTGGCTCACAAAATCCAGAAGAAACTCAGCAAGATTAAGGTGAAGCTTGCTGATTTGATGTTGATGACAGATGTTTTTTTGGGGGGGTTTAAAATTACATCACCCATTAACCAATCAGTGTACACCAAATGCTCCCAGATTCCCCAGTAGATCCATAATCCACAGATAACTAGAGCAGTCAAAAAAATTTTGATTCTTAAATATCGTATAATCATACTAGCTGAAAATGCATTCAAAGTTTAACATTGTGATAATGAATTGTAGGGGATTTAAAAAAAAAATCATCTGGAAACAAAACTGTTTACATGACAGAGAAAGTTTTTGCTCATGATTAACTCTTTCTGAAATCTAAGGCAGGTGGGATAACACAGAAGATCAAGGATTACTCTGCTTCACCTATTGCTTTTTTCCTGCTCAAACAATCCTTTTTAGTCTTCCACATGCACATATATTCATCCACTCTACAGCGTTCCTACTCAGCGGATACCAGCCTCTTTTAGTTTTTCCTCTTAATACCCCAACCTTATATTAAGAGATGATATTCTCCTCCTTATACAGCTGCCTTATTTCATGAATGAGCTGACCCTGGCTGATCTGGACATGGGGAGCTGCCTTCCTCAGGTTTTAAGCAAATCAAAACCTACATTGGACCGTAGAGGTAAAGAATGCTTTATACAACACAAGAAACTTTCACATTTTTCATTCCTAATTCGACATGTTTCCAATAAGTAACTCGTTACTACATACATTAGGTAAGTTAAGGGGCCTTATTTCATGCAAACTCAACTTTTTAAACCTTCTGCCCAAACAAATAGTTGAATCTATGTTCGGGACTCGTGTAATACACACAGACAAACTGCAGTTTTGCACAGATGAGGTTAAAAGTGCATGAGGGGATTTGAAATTCATTTCAAGCTTCCATAAGCCTCCCAGATTTGTGAGTGCATGGCTTATTTATAAACTGGGTCATTTAAATTCTCTAAAGACTAAAATTATGTGCTAGTAGCACTTTTTAGCAATATTTTTCTATGTGAATAACTGCCACTGAGGGCTTAACCGCTCTTTGCTCTCAATATGCCAGCATAGCCTAGGAGAAGCTAACTTAGATTGCTTTTGCAGGAGAGACACGTGTAATGCTGTCGAAGTGTAACTAAACAGTCTGCTCACTGTATTAGCCATGAACATACATTGTTTAATACTTAAGGTTAAACTATTCTGTTTTCCTTATTTATATATATTTATTCATTCCTTTGAGCCTAAATTTTAAAATAACAGAAGTTATGCATCAAACTTTTTTAAGGGTTTACAAGGCATGTTTTACATAAACAAGTACTAAAATTTATACACAAGCTTACAGATCTAGTATTACTTATGCAGATATATTGAATATACTTTTTGTCCAATAGAAGAAGAATGGCTCTAGTTTTTCTCGTTGGCGTTCAATTCTGAACTAAGCCTAACCACTTATAAGGAAAAATATGAAGTTATGAACAAAATAAATATTTCAATTTACCAGTGCAATCATAGCAATATAATTAACAAGCCACATTTAAGGCATGGTATTTTGAGTATGCTGATTCCATGTAACCCTTTGCAATTACAACTTTGCACACTGACATTTCAGCGACAAATTTTGTTTCAACATGCAGTGCAGGTCTAGTTAAAAACCAGAAAAAATCAAAACTGTAAATGTTCATGCAACACTTAACACGGAGCACGACTGCAGGGAACCTGGCTTATGGTTACAATGCGAGGTTTAAAAGCAGTGAAATATTAACCTATGCTCATTTCCTGATGATTTCACCATATTATATAACGCAAGGCCAAACTGTGCGGCAACATTTAATATGTTTGTAGTGGGACAGAGGCTTGTTATGTGGGTTAGATAGGAAAACACAACATTAATATTCTATTGTACTCAATCCAGTTTCAGAAATAATGAGGTATTGAATAAATGTGCACAAAATATATTGTAATAGGTTGGTTCTTCTACAGCAGCCTTTTAATTCATCACCGTCCAGCTTTTTGTCGTAGTGGGAAATATATCTTCCCCAACATTGCTTTATATTGATTTAGCTGCTTTAAACTTTAATTGTATATATGGGCAATTTAAGGTCAGCAGATGTTGTCTTCCTACAGAAAACACTCACTTAAAAGGCTTGTTCTCTTGTCTTCCCACCTGGGGGCTTGTTTTTATTTGTGAAACTCTGAACAAAATGTAGGCCATGGCTACTTGAGTCAAAACACATTGTTATTGGAAACTTAAAGTACAGAACAGACAGAAAAAACAAACATAACATCTCCTTGTTTGTTAGACTAATTCCAAACTTGAATAACATGACAGGCAATCTGGAAGACCAGAAATACGGATATTTAAATATGCCTGAGGATATTTGCCTAAGTGAGGCAAAACAAAAAAGTAGGAGGAGAAATAGATATTAGAGAGAAGGAACAGCCATAACAGAGAGATTTAGAAAACAATAAAAGGGAATAGATAATAGATTTAGGGTTTTTTAGTGAGGGAATGCCTTATTATAATGTTTTAGGAGTTAAGCCACAACTAGTTAAATGGTTTATAGTGTGATACCAGAACACGGAAGCCATATTCTTGATTAATGGAGAACAAAACCAAACATTTTGATAGTTATTTAAAAAAAGGTATTCTATTTCTTTTTTTAGAAAGTAAAACTAGTTCACTTGGTTGGAACAGTCATGATCTGTTGTGTAACAAATAGAAACGCAGATTTTCATGATCTCATTTAGTAAAGTGATTAGCAACCTTCTTAATCGAGCTTTACCAACCATGACATCACATCACGTCACTGGTCTAGCAGTTGCAGCCAGTTCAGATCCAGAGGAGCTTTTGGTTCATGCTCCAAAACAAGCTTAGATTAAAGTCCATTAAAAACCCTGCGGATCAGCATTGTCGCTGCTCTTCATTCTCCTTTTTTTTCTCCAGGTTTGTGGCTGGACCTGGAGCTGGTGTACACAGGCTGCCTTCAGATGACCCTGGAGACTAAGATGAACCTGGATAAGCTGGGAAAAGAGGGAGAGGAAGAAGCTCACATTTCTGAAAACCTGCAAATGGGGTGAGCCTCTGTGGAAAAGGTCCCATGAAACACGTTTGGGCTTAGAAAATAAAATAAATCAGAGCTCAAAGGTCTTCAGCAACCCCTACAACTTTTTCTTTCAGCTCTAAGCCTAAGCTGTGTATATTGGTAGACAGCGATGAAGAGTCCTCCAGTGCTGCGTCTTCTGATGAAGAGGAAACACCCCTATCTGATCCACAGAGTTCACTGGTTGATAAGAATGCTCCTATAGGAGCTGATGGGTAAATCTCAGCTATGAACATTGTTGAATTATGGATGAATAGCAGATCAGTTGTCCTTAAGCACACCTGTGTGGTTTTTAACCATTACAGGCATGCAGGTGGTCGTAGAGGCAGGAAAATCCTGAGATTTGTGGACAAGATAACAAAATCCAAATACTTCCAAAAGGCCACAGAAAATGAGTACATCAAGAAGAAAATAGCTGAGGTCTCCAACATGCCCCTAATACTCAGTGTGGAAGTCCTGGAGCTTTCTGGATCACTGACCATCAACATACCCCCTCCTCCTACTGATAGGATATGGTACTCAACCTTTATATTCATAGATGCTTTTCTTGTGCATATGGGACAGCTTCTCTGTCATGTTCCTAACATTTTTCTGGTTTCAGGTACAGTTTCCGAGTGCCTCCAAGGTTAGACCTCTATGTACGCCCCATGCTGGGTGAGAGGGAAGTTACCTTCACTCATGTGACAGAGTGGATTGAGAAAAAACTGCAGTGTGAGTTCCAGGTCAGTCCTTCAATCACCGTCTATCACTGCTTTTTCATTATAAATTTGTGCAAAACTATGTTGTATTCTGGTAATGTAGTAAAAAAAAATGTAGAGTTAAAATTTTGCTTTTCTTTTAAATCCATCCATTCATTTTTCATCACGCTTATCCCAAGGGGTGCTGGTGCCTATCTCCAGCTGTCTATGGGCGAGAGGTTGGGTACACCCTGGACAGGTCGCCAGTTTATCGCAGGGCAACACAGAGACAAACAACCATTCACGCACACACTCACACCTAAGGAGAATTTAAAGCCAATTAACCTGCATGCATGTTTTTGCACTGTGGGAGAAAGCCAGAGTACCAAGAGAGAACCCACACATGCTCAGGGAGAACATGCAAACTCCATGCAGAAAGACCCCAGGCTGGGAATTGAACCCAGAACCTTCTTGCTGCAAGGCAGCAGTGCTACCTACTGCGCCCTTTTCTTTCAAATAAGAAATGCAATTAAAATCAGTACTAAATCATTTTTTCATGCAATATATCATCATCCTCCTACTACTTCCTGTTTTCTTCTTTTTTTTTACAGTAACAACATCTGGTTTTGTGATTCGGACAAAAACAATTGATTGTGAAAAACAACTATTTTGATTTAAACAAACAAAAAATAAACTAAGAAAAAAAATAATTGTAGTGCAAACATTTTTTTTTTCAAACTTTGATTTTTTTAAAGTTTGCACGTCTTGAAGAAGCACTTTTATTTTCATAATTACAGTTTGCTCAATATGATGGTCAGGGAAAACATATAGAAATACATGGAGAACGTTGATCTTCTCTCTAATCACTAAAATGTTTTCACTTTCTATTTCTGAGCAGAAAATATTCGTCATGCCCAACATGGATGATTTATATCTGCCCCTGATGACATCAGGCCTGGAAAACCCACCTGCATCCCATCGGTCCTCTGTGATTTCCTCTTCCCACCAGTCTTCCATGGAGTCACAGGAATATGTGTCAGAATAGCGCCCCCTGTGGCTGCAGAGCTTGTTTTTTGTTGAACAAAGCAAGATGTCTTGGATCCGTTGTGATGAAACTATGACAAACTATTCGCGTGCTGCAGCTTTAGCCAACTTTAATGACCATGTGATTACGAAGGACAGATTCCTTCTGAAACCACAATGAACTCAAACTGTGAGCTTGGGAACGTCGGAAATGTAGGGGCCTGTGAATGAGGGGCCCCTACAGGGAATTTAATCACTGATATTAAATTGACGACTTGCTACATTGATGCCACCTTTTTTGTAAGTGATGCAAAACTTGAAATAAGTACTTACTGCATGAGATAAAAAGGCATCCATCCATCTATCCATCCATCCATCCATCCATCCATCCACTTTACATGAACTTTATAAAATTTTTCTTGAAACATACTTGAAGTTTCAAACTGTGTTCCTTCTTTGTGTATCAATGCACGTGTTGGATTTGCTAAAATAAAAAATCATGTTTTTATTCCAGTTAATATTCTAGAAAATATCAACTTAAAAAGACCACTGTAAGAATGTAAGAATGAGTAAAATACACATTGTTAATAGAAATTGAGTAAAATGCATTTATTATTCAGCAAGAACATTTGCTCTTCTCTCAGACGTCCTCTGGAAGCGGGTGGCGGCATCGTCTTCAGTGAATGTTTTTTCAGTGGCCCCTAAAAATAAAGCCAAGGTTATGCTTTAAATATTATTTCAAAATCCTAAACAGTAGATATATTGAGCTGTATTTGGTTCTTGCTTTGTGATTGCTGGAATTAAGTATGAATACAAGTTATTCCCTCACCATAAAGGCTCTTTTCTCTTGGGCTGTTTGGAAGCGCCCATGGCCAAATTTAGATGTAGTGTCGATAAACTTGAGATCAATGGCCTCCTTGGCCCTGCGTGATGTTTGTGTGAGCAAAGACTGCAGGGAAAATGCACAAACTTAAATTAGTTCAAATTCTTCTTTAATGTCAGTCTTTGTTAAATATGTCAAATCAGAAAGCTTTTTCAGCAAATCTACAGGTTTTGTGTTAAGATAAGTCTCCCTACCTTTCTGAGTGTGAGGACACGTTTCTTAACACCTACAACACAACCTTTCACCATGACAAAATCATTATTCACTTCACCATAGTGGGGGAAACCTTCCTAAAGAGAAAAAAGAAGACATTTTTATGAAGAAATTAATCCGATTTTTCGCAGGAGAGATTTTTTTAACATCTCAGGTTCCTTTATTAACTAACAAAAACTATATTCTGATTCTTTTTTTCTGTTGAATTATTAAGTAGCCATCAGATTTGTTTAACAAAGACAAATAAATTTTTTCATCACAGTAATTGTATGAATAATATGCTTCAACATCAAAAGCTATCTGAGATTAATTAACTTATACTCTAATGCCCACAAATTAAAACAAATGTATCTTTTATTGTAGTAGCAGCATCACAGACAGAAAACACTGAAGGAATTATGTTTTATTAAAAAAATGTACGTATTAAGTCAAGAAAAAAAATCCCTCGTGGGATCTCCAATACATAAATAATTGCCGGAGAGCTTTTTAATTTCTGCTGTATGATACAAGATATAAATATGGCACCTTTGATTTTGCACTTTTACCATTTTACATTTTGTCATGTTAAAACTAAAGATATTTTAGTATTTTATTGTGCATTTGTATTGAGATTTAATGGGAAAGAATGCGGCCTTTTTGTAAAGTTTGCTATAATTTTTTGAAAAACACAAACAGTTATGCATTTGTATTCAGCAGCAAAGTCAAAACTTTGAAGATCTACCTTTTACTGCAGTTTCAATTGAAAGACTGTTATGGTATGTATCTAACTTTCTAATAATGGAATTTTCTTACATTAGAGGTTTTTGATCTAAACCCTAGCCTTGCAGCTTTGTTTAAGTGTGGGTTTTGTTGGATGGTGAACATCAACCCCAGATTTTCCACCTGGATTGATCTTTTTTTCTTTTCTGCTCATCCATCCTACCATAAATAGAGGAAAGCATCCCCACACCATAACTCTGCCACTATTTAGGTAGATGTGCAGCAATGGTTTCACCACTTAGGTGAATCTTAAAGGCTTATTGAGGCGTTTTCGAGAGCTAAGAATACAAATGCATGACACACTTTCCAAATTTTTTATTTCTGAATAAAAGCCTTGTATTGTTTTTCAGAGAGGATGTATTCATCCTTACCAAGGATGGCAATAGATAAAATGAGTTTTAAATAGTATGAGTTTGATCATCAGTGGTGGTTTAAAAGCAGAGAGTACCATTGGAGTGATGGTCTTCTCACTGAGGTCGTAGGTCGTGGAGACGTTGTTTCGCACCACCTTCCCGTCCTGAATGTGAACCCCTCTGCCAATACGGAATATCTGAGGACATAACATAGAGCCTTGGAGGTGAAGACAGTTCTCATCATATTAAACTTTGTCCTGTTGGGTTTTACATTTACATATTTAAGGAAAAGCAAATTTATAACTGTGGTTAGGTTTCAGGTTACCTTCTTGTTGATCTCAGTACGGTGCTGATAGCCTTTCTGACCGGCTCGAGCCACGGTGTAGGCCACGCGTGCAGGATGCCAGGCGCCAATGCAGGCCACCTTTCTCAGCCCCTTGTGGGTCTTTCTGGGGAGCTTCTTTGTGTGCCAGCGACTGGTCACTCCTAACAGCAGGAATCACAAATGCAGTCCATCTTTTCCTGTATATCATGGACAGTCTTGTTACTGCAAGAACCTACAGCAATACTCCCACCTTTGAAACCATGGCCTTTGGTGACTCCGATGACATCAATCATCTCATCCTGGCTAAAGACAGCGAAAATGGGTACAGCTTTCTCCAGGTGCTCCTTGGCCCAGTCCACTTTGTCTGAGACCGTGCCCCCGTTTAGCTGCACCTCCATAATGTGAGCCTTCTTCTGCTTTATGGGCAGCAGTCGCATCTGGAATCACACAAAGGAACAACACGCCCTGAAGTTGCTGTTGCTGGGGTTTAAAGATATCATCCTTTCAACCCACTATAATTAGGATTATTACTCAACAAGCTGATGGAAGTCAGGAATAAAAACATGCCATGATCTTATCAACTCTACCTAAAAAATAGGATCCATAAAGTTATTTTACAATCTGCAAATCTTTCCAGTCTTCAAATAATCTGGGTGAGCTGCCAGGATTGACACCGAGAAATATTTTTAAACTGATATTTGAAACACTACTCCACAGTCACCTTCTTCTGGCTCTTTCTGTGGCCCGAGCCAACATGCTAAACATTTAAAAGCTTTTCTGCCTGTCTGCTTGTGGTCTGACTGCTTTTTTTAAGTGGAGGAGAAATAAATGTGATGAAAAGATGTTTTGACATACTGAAAACAGCTGGATTAGGCCTACCTGAGAGTGAACAATAACCCTGATGACTGAACAGTACTTCCTCATCAGATTAAAATCCTTTTCCAGCTGTTTCTTTCCAGTCTCGTCCTGCCACTTCTTGCTGTATTTGGTGAACGCCTTTTTCTTGCTCTTCGCCCTGGAAAAAAATCCCTCAGTCTAAGGATAAGAAAGGAACTTTTTCAACTGATTTTTTCTCAGTTAAACATTTGTGTGCTGCACACACCAGTTCCTATAAAATCTACGCCTGCACTCGTCACTGAGATGCTCAGCAAAGATGGTTTTCAGAGCACGCAAACCCCGGACCGTCCGAATATAACCCACAATCCCCACCACAATGACGGGAGGGGTCTCAATGATGGTTACAGCCTCCACTTCCTCTCGCTTGGACACCTCTGCAATACAGACAAAAATGGGACAACAGTTCACTCATCCAAACCAAAATGTCATAAAATCAGAGTTTTAATAACAATTGAACTGTTTAACAACATTTTTTTTTTTTTATTGTGGGATAACAACTTATGAATGCCAAACATTTAAAAACCCAATATGTGGGCACAAAGGTTCAAATTAATTGCAGATTTTTTATAATGAAAAAGTTGTAAAACATTTCCTATAGACTCAGACGGTTAAACATGATCCTAATAAAGTTTCGATAAATGTAACTTAAGTTATACTCAAACTATCTGCTTTTTTTGCCCGTTAACATTCTTATTGGGTTTTTATGACTTAGCTTTGGACCCTGGCTTTAGCTTAGCATAGTCAACAATTCCTTTACAGGGTTGAGTTTGAGCCCAGTCCAAAGCCTTTATTTATTCCTACATCTGCTTTTGACATCGCTGCTTATTTTATAAAACTAAAAATATTTCCAAGTTTCAACTGCTTGTGGATTTTAAGTAAAATGTTTTTTTAATAATTGTCATATGTTTGTTTTTTCTGAAATGCTCTAGTATTTGTGGCAGAAAAGCAGCCTGTGGTCAAGGTGGAGCTTCTCAAGGGCCATTTGTGAATATATATTCCTCCCTGCAGATTTAGATTTCATGGATTTTATTTAAACCAAGGGGTTTGTTTCTTATGCAATAATACAGGAATTTCTCAAAAAATAATAAAGCAAACTTATGGGATAATATCTTATAAGTTTGAATTACATTTTATTTACAAATAATAACTACAACCTTTATGTCCAATAGAAATGTTTCTATATTGGCATGACTCTATAAAACCGTTCACATAATTGCTGAGCAGCTTTTTGCGTGTTTACTCTGGTATTCTTGCAATTTGTCTGTGAGGATGAGCAGCAGGTCTTTGACTTTGGAAGGCCTCCCTGCTATCACCCTTTGTCAACGGATTCTGTGGCAGATTCTAATCCAGACTAGCTGGACAACTCTAAAAAGTTACTGTCATTAACAATCAGAAAACTTCCTTAAAACTTTATCAGCGAAGTACAACTGTGGGCTTTATATTTTTAACCTCGCATTAATAATTATGACTCAGTTTAGAGAAAATTTCACAGTTTCCACTCCTTAAAATTCATCAAAGTTTTGGATTAAAGTATACCCCCACCTGGAGGAGGAAAACTGTAAAAAGTCCATCATTAATCTTTCTTTTTTTTTTTTTATTCCAGTTTATGTTAAATGATCTTTATCAAGGCAGGGGATTTATTCACACACTAGCATTAGGTAAACTTTTGACCCAAACTATAATATTTAGTAGGAATGAAATATCATTTAAAAAGAGATGAAAACCATTGCCATGCATTTAACAGAAATTAGCACATAGAAACTGCTTTTTATGATAGTAGTTCACACAAGTCTTAAAGCTGAATAGCTTGACTTTTACTTTTTTATTACTAATCACTGACACGTCTATGTGCAAATA